AGATGGGAGAAAGTTGTAGTAAGTCAACCATCACTGCAGCAATCCACCAGTCGGGGCTTTATGGCAGAGTGGCCCGACGGAAGCCTCTCCTCAGTGCAAGACACATGAAAGCCCGCATGGAGTTTGCTTAAAAACACCTGAAGGACTCCAAGATGGTGATAAATAAGATCCTCTGGTCTGATGAGACCAAGATAGAACTTTTTGGCCTTAATTCTAAGCGGTATGTGTGGAGAAAACCAGGCACTGCTCATCACCTGTCCAATACAGTCTCAACAGTGAAGCATGGTGGTGGCAGCATCATGCTGTGGGGGTGTTTTTCAGCTGCAGGGACAGGACGACTGGTTGCAATCGAGGGAAAGATGAATGCGGCCAAGTACAGGGATATCTTGGACGAAAACCTTTTCCAGAGTGCTCTGGACCTCAGACTGGGCCGAAGGTTTACCTTCCAACAAGACAATGACCCTAAGCACAGCGCTAAAATAACGAAGGAGTGGCTTCACAACAACTCCGTGGCTGTTCTTGAATGGCCCAGCCAGAGCCCTGACTTAAACCCAATTGAGCATCTCTGGAGAGACCTGAAAATGGCTGTCCACCAACGTTTACCATCCAACCTGACAGAACTGGAGAGGATCTGCAAGGAGGAATGGCAGAGGATACCCAAATCCAGATGTGAAAAACTTGTTGCATCTTTCCCAAAACGACTCATGGCTGTATTAGATCAAAAGGGTGCTTCTACTAAATACTGAGCAAAGGGTCTGAATACTTATGACCATGTGATATTTCAGTATTTCTTTTTTAATAAATTTGCAAAAATTTCTACATTTCTGTTTTTTTCTGTCAAGATGGGGTGCTGAGTGTACATTACTGAGAAATAAAATGAACTTTTTTGATTTTTGGAAAATGGCTGCAATGAAACAAAGAGTGAAAAATTTAAAGGGGTCTGAATACTTTCCGTACCCACTGTAAGCAACACAGCACAGCCACGAGAGTTGGAATAATAACAATTAATTGAAATAAGTAACTGAAAGAAAAGCATCAGGAATAATTCTACCAGGGACAACCTACATTTGTTTGTGTCTATGTGTGAGACTGATTGTGTCTGTGTGCGTGTGGGTGAATGTGTCTGTATGTGTGTGTGTGTGTACATGTGTGTGCGCTTAAGCCTGTTAAAGAATGTAGTTGTTAGTGAGAGTGGGACGCCACACAGACACCAGCAACAGGCAGGCAAGAACCCCAGTAGCCAATAGGGGTGGGAGAATTTTTAAAAACAAATTTAAAAAAATAAAAATATGACTCCCAGATGCACTGCGATGCAAACGCGGAAGACCCCGACCCAACCAACAGACGACCCAAAAAATGCAATGCAATGCCGACGGAACGCAAGAGGCGTAAGGAAATGCCTCCCCCGGACTCCAATGCACAAACTAAACGCCCAGTAACCATCCAGAGACCCTGCACAGGGAAGGAAAAAAAAAAAAAAAAAAATACCACGATGCATCTTGATGCATTGGCAATCGCCCCATAATCCCACCGCAGCCCTCCAAACCGCAACCGGATCAACCCACGCAGCGCCCAGAGACCCCCACCCCTAGTAGCCAGGGCACCCCGCGACCCCCCAAAGCGCAAAGGACCCCAGACTGCATGTCCCGGGGGAAGCTGCGCCCCACCACGAGGAGGAACAACTGTGAGAGAGCAGGCAGGGAGAAGCAGCGGGAGCCCCCCGGGGATACACCACCCGCCCAGAAATGGGCAAAAGCTAGAAGCCCGAGTCCCCAGACCCTTAGGTCCAGAGTGGGCCCCCATGCCAGGGGAGCCACGACCCCCCCAATCCGCCCCAGACCAGGCAAGGCCCCCACCCAAGGGTTTATGTAGTGAGACATGACCAAAGGGCGGAAGGTGAAGGAGTGAAGGAGGTCATAGGGAGGCTGGAATGGTCCTCCCCACTGGGACCAGATCCTGACTGGCCCCATCATTCAGTCCCGTCCCCCACCCCCTAAGCAGGAGGACGACAGGTCCCTCCATCCCAGGGCTTATAGCAAGAGCCCCTCTAGCACCGGCAGCACCCCAGAGTCAGCGACAACCCCGCCAAGCCCCAGGACAGGTCCGGGGGGCCCAGCCCCCCCAGCGCGCAGACACGCCCCAGACCCAGAGGTTCCAAAGCCCCGAGCCCCACACACCCCCGAGGCAGCTGAGCGTAGCCCCGACCCAAAGCCCAACAATCCCTCGCCCTCGCCAGTCCACACCCACACCTGAGGCCCCCAACCCCCAACAGGCACGCAAGCCAATCATGACCTACAGGTGAGCCAACCAACACTACCCCGCTACCAATCTATCTAACGCCCCACAACAGCCAAGTAATGCGCTGCACAGGAGGGATGCCAGCCGGCGCAAACTGCCCCCATCCCCTCTGCAGCCAGGGAGACCACAGACCCCCAACCAAGGCTACACCATGACCCACACCGCACGTTCACCACCGGACAAAAACCCACCACAAGCATTCCCCCCGCCCACTGCCCCCCGCCCGGAGCCACACGCCCGGAGCCACAGGGAGGCAGCCAAGCACCGAGCGCCACCACATCCGCACAGCGCACGAGTCAAAATCACCACCCATGCACCGATACCAACAACTTAGCCATATCGATAGGTCTTCACATATCTTCTGCCAGAACTTTTGAACAGGTGCACATTGCCACATAACATGAGTGTAACTATCAGATATGTTACTGGAGCAGTTCCAGCAGATGTTTGACTACATAAAACCCATTCTGAACATCCTTTGTCCAGTATAGTGTGTTCTATGGAGAGTTTTATACTGTATGAGTTGTAGATTGGGATTTGTAGTCATTCTAAAGGTATTTAAACATATCTGCATCCAGAAGTTTTGGTTTGGACTAATTCTTTACACTTGCAGCATAAACAATCAAGCAACTACATTTATGTCTTATGTCTGAAATAATGACATCCAAATGTGGTATAACACTGTTTATTGTTATTATATACTACTAAAACTACAACCTATCACAAATAGATCATTTTTAAAACATCAATAAAAATAAGTATATACCAGACCAGGTGTGTCCTGATGTATCTTGACTGATTATGAAGATAGTTCAGACTGTACTCGTAGCATCGTATCGCTGCTGTGGAGATGATTAAATATATCACAGTATATTTTGCTGTATCTAGCAACACAGTTGGGGCAGGGACACCTGACTGAACCCCATGTTGACGGGGATAATCAGGTGTCCTGGTTCTGCTTCTAGGCATCTCCTCAGTAGTAGACAACCGGAGGAGGAGGAGCATGGCACTCTGGAGGTTTGCGATGTAACTGTAGTCCTTCTCCACCTTCAATGAGTACAAGCTCCACTTCCTGGACTTTTTGTTGTACACCTTGCTGTATAATAATAATACAAATAATATAAATATAATACAGAAAGGAGGATCAGCTTAGTGAAAAGTTTCTAACACCTGACATTGTTCTCTTATAGAGTAATTAGGAAACTATTTCCACATAAAATGCAATCAATAACAATAAATCAGCACCATCTACCTGTATTCCTCATACTGTTTAATATTTTTTGACTCATCACTTATAAATGTATTGAGTAAATTGCACAAGAGTACTCATAATGCAACATACTGAACTGTGTCATCAGCTTTTCTCCTGGCTGGTCTGTGGACATGGTGGTTGTAATCCAGACCAGCCAGCTTGGTCCGATCAGTGCACTGGTGAGAAGCAATGGGTGTTGGAAGACTGCAGGTGACCTGAGGGCGCAGTAGAAATAAAACATACAGGATTTTTTACTTCTGGTAAAATAAGTAATGGCATAACACCAGTTACAGTAAAAGGTTTTCACACAGTAGGATTAGCTACGAACAATGTCAAACTATATTATAGGGACCTTTAGCCATCATTGTTTATGTACACTAACGTTGAAATGTCTTTTTCATAACTACAAACACACAACTACATCATTTGTAAAAGAGAAACATACAGTCAAACGCCTGAAGACACAAGATAATCACACAAACAGATTAGATACAAGGTGTAAACATAGTATAATAAACCTAGATGGTGAATAACTAAACCGGCGCAGTCTACACCTACATTGTCTTACCTAATATTAGCATTGGAAAACACAGCTTGCGCTGCTGTTTTCCAGCTCACCTACAGCTAGATAGAATTCGTCGTCTCTACTCTGGCTCCTACACCAGCCTGCACTCGTAGAAACCGTTAGCTGTATGCTAAGTAGCTAGCTACGTTTGCTAGCGATGAAAGTAACAAATTACCATCAAAATGATAAAAGCCAGATTACCTGTCCAGCAGAAATAAAGCCACACGGTGTAACTTTTCAGCCCCTTGGTGTTCCTCAGTTGTCAGTAACTATCGTTGAAAAGCCACGCAGATACCTCCGGTCTGACCGCTTCGCTCGTCAGGTCTGAGAGAGCTGACCGGGTGCGCGCACGGGTGCAGCTCCTCTAGCAGCACGGCTGGTAGCCATAGCAGCAAGGGAGAGTCACCCAGCCAATCATTGCATTCAGTCCGAATGAAACGAGTGGCTAGTTTACTGCAGCCCTGAGAGGACTACAGACAGACAATTTTTATACTCTCCTTTTCAGAGCACCTAACTTTTTAATATGCCTTGGTGTATAAAGACAGTTTCAACAAATATGACAAAAAGTGTTTCAGAAGCAACTTGTGTGTTGGTAAAGAGAATTGAATGAACAAATGATTTTTGTGCTGATAAGTGAAGCATCTTATCATATGGGCATCTTTTTAATGGAGCTGAGATGCTGTGTATGTCACAAAATGCAATGAAAACTCCATTAGAGAGTGGTAGCTGAAGGAAGCTTACATTGGTGTGCCTTTAAGATAATTACTATTCACTCAACTGGACAAAATGTAATGAACTGATATTTATTTTTTATTTTTATTTTTTTAACACAGCACAATGATATGTAGTGGATGAGATTGGGTAATGGCAAAATCTGCTACTTACCATCAGAATTCCAGATCAGACGGACGGCCAGGAAGTCCCGCAAGTTGTTCAGCAGGGTGTATTTTACCCAGAAGTGTTCCAGAGGCCTGACCACACTGGGACAGGAAGCTGTCATCACCAACCGAGGACGATCCAAGCAGATACTGGGCAATGAGTAAAAACTAGAAATGTATCTGGAGAGAAAGCATACAAGTATCTTAATTTCCTGTAATATACATTTTGAGTTGTCATAGCAGGAAAAGGAAAATGGAATATAGACATTTTTAATGTAATCACCTACACCAGGGCTTTTCTTGCTATGACATTTCATAAAATCAATATATCTCACTGTACAACAATGTAGGTAGTGAGATCTGCTAAATGGCCATATAGAAAATGTTACCTTTACCTTGTGGAAGGCAGTGTTGGAGTGTACCATTGTAACACAGCGACCAATGAGACTTCCAAACCCTACAGAAATATATACTCGTTAGGACACATGATTTCATACAGAAAGGAGTATGTTTCATAAATCCAATGACACATGATGCTATTTGGTAGATCTTCATGAAACATTTAGGACGTTCTGGGAATGTTTAGGGCAGAGGTCACTAATAGGCAGACCACGGTTCGGATCCGGACCCAGCGGCCATATTGTCCAGCAAACCCGGACGTACAGGCGATCTATTATTGAGAATTACTACCTCGTGACGGAGCGTTTCTATTTTTAAATGCACAGCTTTTCGAGCACTTACTGTCCTCGTTTAGCGACACAGGCAACTCACAGACCAATCGCATGTGCTCTAATCGTCTCATATGATGCTGCTCAGCCAATCAAATCTGTGCATTGTTAAGCATTGCCAGAGCTGTTAACGGCCCTGAACATTGCAAGTTGAGTCCGCGAGTGAGGTACACAGAAGAAGAGAGGAGACTTCACATGGCTTTTAACCAAGAATGTACAGATTCATATTCACATGTACATTCTTCCCACAGGCAGTTCAAAACCAGAATATATCATATCTCCAATCCTAGCTTGAGCTCACATTTCTCACTAAACAAGAGAAAGTAGGGAATTGGTAGCCATATAAGAGGGAATGAAAGAGAAGAGGGGGCATTACAGCTGTTCATTTGTTAAGATGTGTTAAGTGTTAATTATAAAATTGGTTGAGACTGAACTTCAGTCACTAAAAGCTACAGTTTTTATTTAATTTTTTAAATGCAGCCTTTAGATTACTTAAATTTAGAATTTATTATTAGAGTAGTTATTTATTATCCCTTCAGTCAGTTGTTGACTAAAAACATATGTTGATACAACTATGCTATACGTTATGGTAGGCTACAGTATGATAACGTAAGTTGATGTTCCGGACCTTTGCTTTGTGAGATTTTCTCTAACTGGACCTATTTAATTCACTCAAAGCACTTTTACACTACATTGCATTAACCCTTTCACAAACATTCATACACTGATGGACATTTCAGTGTTCAGTATCTTGCCCAAGGACACTTCAACATGCAGCCTGGAGGAGCCAGACTTCCGATTAACAGGCAACCTGCTCTACCATTACTACTCTATATTTTTTTTTCCGATTGAGGTCTTTCCATTACGTTTACTGAACATTTTCAGAACATACTCCCAACAAAGTTTGCAGAACCTTTAGGGGATCAACTTAGAATGTTTTTATTGCCCCTCGCGACCCTGTACGCAGGATAAGCAGTTGACGATGGATGGATGGGTGGATGGATGTTGTGCCATGTGCATAACTGATTATAATTTATACAGTTTGTAGATCATTTGTATTCACAACAATGAATTATGATTAGGGAAGTGATTTCCTTTGTCATCTGAAAGAGAAGTTAATCTCAGTAAGAACAGCTGATTGAATAAAGAACAACTGAAGGAAGACAGCCTTCATCATGCCATCTCACCTCACTGGAGTCCTCCTCTGCTTTGTCTTGTAGCTGCAGCTGAAACAGGAAGTTCTGTTCCTCCAGGGCACTGAGCATGCTGGGTAAACGTGATGACTCACTGTCTATCCGATAGAATGAAGCCATGTTGACCTCAGCTGATTGGTGGCTTTAGTGGAAAGTGAAAACAAAGAAGTGTTTGTTGGGAGAATAAAGACTTGAGATTTGAAGATTTGCCCACATTTACTGAATTCTGTAAACATTTGGGGTCAGCAGTCATCCCAAAACCTGATTATTTCATTTCAGAACTGGAAACATCCAGACATCTACCCATTCAAATTTTAAAATTATATTTTTATATGTCAGAAAATTAACTATACACACTTTTGTGAGCGAGCGGAGGTGATGAGCGAATTTATGTGCTTTGCTCTGCAATGAAATACAATTTTAAATGAGTCTACTAAAAAAAAATAATGGCGGTCAGCGTCGATATTGTGGCAGGTCGCCTCAAATAAATCAAGGTATGGAAAACACTGACAATTTTTCCATCTTTCACGGACATCACAGCCTCTTTGTGCTGATTTTAAAGAGTGCCTCCTGCTTATCTGTGAGTAGAGTCTTGTATTTGCTGAAACTCCTCTCACAGTTAACTGAGCTGACTGGGAAGAAAATGTAGGGCACTGCCAGCCCTGCAACCCTCAGAAATCTCACACTCAGGCCCCTCCGGTATTCAGCAAGATCCAAACCAAGTGTGAAGAAACTGCTACAGAAACTGCTGTGGGACGGTTATTGTCCTTTAAATACGTAGGTTATTACTTGAAAAGTAGGTAAAGACATACAAGGAATTTGCTTTGACATTTTGGTGCATAACAATAACAGTATGTAGAAAATATATATAATGTAATAAAAAATATGAACAATATGACACCAAAAACGATGTTCTGCAATCTCTTGTATCAGTTTTGTCCACAACTACTGATAATTTCTGCCCCCGGACGGTCTCCATATGATGCTCAAACACACAAGGCTACTCTCATGTTCGGACAACGTCCCTCCTTTATTTACAATGCTTAACCATAAAAAGATGTAGCTTTCTCATTTTGTCCAACAGAATGTCTGACTCCTCGGCGAAGTCTTTGACAAACTTGTTTCTTGCATCTGCTGACGTGGTTGCACTTTTGAGAGTTGGCTGTGATATTTTGATTGTAGTTATACATAGTATCTTAGGGCTTTTTGTGTTTTTGTTTATAAACTCTTTTCTGCCGTCCCTCTCTAGTAATATTTACCAGAGAAGAGCTCTTAAATATTGGACTTTCAACTGCTCACACTACTCCACCACTCTGTATGGGATCCTCGGGAGACACCGAAGGGGAAAGTGTGCTGGCACATTGGTTAAACTGAGACAGCGGGGTTTTCGCACTGCGCTCCCTTCTATCCACCTGCCGAATGTCCGCTCTCTGGCCAACAAAATGGATGAACTGCTGCTCTTCAACAGAACTAACTCGGACTTCTGCAGATTGGCCGCCCTCTGTTTTACTTAATCCTGGCTCACCCCGCAAATCCCAGACAGCGTACCTGACCTGCCGGGATTTAATGTCATCTGTGCAGATCGCGAAAGGGAGCTCACAGGAAAAACAAGGGCAGGCGCACTCTGTCTATACATAAACGGGGATTGGTGTACAGATGTTACAGTGTATAAATCATGCAGCCCTCACTTAGACATTATTTAAAAACTGTAAAACTTTTTATTCACCACAGGAGCTTTCCTCGTTTGTTTACATTCCACCTCAGGCCTGTGTTAGTGAGGCGTTACTACACCTAGCCGACCAGATAACTAACGTGGAGAAAAAACATACAGACTCCCTACTCCCCTTGCTGGACCCCTGCAGTTTGCCCAAACGGCTAACAGGTCAGTGGATGATGCAGTCAACTTGGGACTCGGGAACATATGCAAGGATCCTGTTCTTCAGCTCGGCGTTCAACACCATCATCCTGGACATCCTCAGCACCAAACTCACCCAGCTCACTGTGCCAGCCTCCACCTGTCAGTGGATCACAGACTTCCTGACTGACAGGAGTCAGGAAGTGAGGCTGTGAAACATCACATCAAGCAGCTGCTGATCCAGTTCTACACGGCCATCATCCAGTCTGTCCTCTGCACCTCCATCACTGTCTGGTTAGGATCTGCCACAAAAAGGACAGGAGCAGACTACAACGGACAGCCAGGACTGTAGAAAAGATCATCAGTGCCAACCTGCCCTCCAGTCAGGACTTATACATTTCCAGCGTCAGGAAACGGGCATGAAACATCACTGCAGATCTATCTCACCCCGGACACAACCTGTTCCAACTTCTCCCCTCTGGTAGGCGCTACAGAGCACTGTACGCCAAAACCAACAGACTTCCCACAAGCCATCACTCTGATGTACAGCTGATTCTGACTCACAGTGTCAGGAACAATTCCTGCGCACCCACCTACCTCAAGTTTGTAACACTAGCAAAAAATACTTATTTATTCCAGCACTATGCTCCATCGCACTGTGTACATATATGCATGCATATGTACCTGCATATCACATCCTCCTACCTCCAACATGTACATAATTAATGATAATAATAATTATACTCTTGCATCCATTTGTGTTCTCTATACTGTAGCCTGTGTCTGATTATATTATTGTGTTATTGTATTACAATTGTAATTGTAATTGAGTAATCACATTGTGAGTCAAATTCCTCGTGTGGATACACATACCTGGCGAATAAAACTGATTCTGATTATATTGCCCAGAGCAGTACCTAACCCACTATCGACTTGTGAAATAAAGAACGTAAAACCCAACGCTCTGCACAGACAAAGACAGACAGAGAGGTGCTGATTTTGACGACAAACAAAGATGGACATCCACAATATCTGAAACATGATGCCACAGGGCTGAATAACACTGAGATTTGGGAAGTTTCTACGGATGTTTAAAACGGATTTATTTATTTATTCCCATGGTTTGAGGTCACCAGTGGAATCCATTGTAGCTGCTGTGAATCCAAGCACAATACAGCTGATGGTGAGCTTCTGGCAGTAAAAAGATCCGTTTGGTTGAGTATTCCTTTAAAGTGAAGTGGTGTGAGCTGTAGTTCCTAGTATTGCATTGACAGCACATACTGATGTTGCCAATCCATACTGATGTTTCTCTTGCTGTATTTCCCCACCTAGATGGCTTCACATCCACAGGGTTGACCATGCCAAGCATTTTGTTTGTTTGTGCATTCTTACATTGACTAAAGGCTGATTTATACTCCTGTGTTGACAGTATAACTGTACCTCCAACTAGCGTTTTGGCAGTGTGATTGCAGAATGACACAAACAACAACACCCAAGTTTAAAAGCATGGCTACGGCGTAGACTCGACGCAGAAGTATAAATCAGGCTTATGTTTCCCATGCAGACCCTAATGCTCCTCTGCTACATATTTTTTTTTATCTGAGAGTACACAGTAAGTACACATGTACTTACCAGACATTGTCGACTCTGAGAACTGAACCATCTGGCATCATTGGGAGGTAGGACGAGTTAAAGTTAGGAAGGATCTTCACATCTCTGACACACACCTCCTCCTGAGAGCTGCAGTTTAACACTGAGGAGCGAGAGGCAGCAAAACTCATTACACATCAGCTGTTTGTGAAGTCATTCTAATTGTAATGGTTACAGTTGTTGAGAATGGTTGATGAAGCATTAATGAAACAACACTTTGGTGTTTGTCATCCTCCACAAATAATAAAATGGAGACATTTTGACTTGTAGCAGCAGAAAAGCAGAGGTTTAAATTAGAAAATAACTGATAGCTGAATGCCATTTAGCTGCTTCAGTTTCAGGGTCCCAGTACAAACACATTTACACCATGGGCCTGATTTACTAACATCCCGAATAAAGAGTACTAAATTGCATCCAAAACAGAAACTAACATTCACACACTGGTGGAACAGCCACCAGGGGCAATTCGGGATTCAGTGTCTTGCCGAAGGAGACTTGGAGGAGACGGGGACTGAACTGCTGACCTTCCAATTAACGGGCAACCCGCTTTACCTCCTGAGCCACAGCCGCACTACACGTATATATAATCTGAAGCTATTTGCACAAACATTTAAGTTGCTCAAACAGCAGCAGTGACTCATGAGTATAAATTCCAACCCCTTTTTTAGCATTTCACCAGACAACTTTGATAGCCACAAGATAAGGCTGTTGCCTGGTGTCCCACCATGAATACAGTCACACTGTAATTTTAAAAATCACACATTTTGCTCTACAGGCAGAAAACATGCAACATAATACCTCCTTCTAGATTTAAAATAAATACATGATGGATGGAAATAAATACACCATAGTCATTCAGAAAATCCTATCATCCATCCAGTCATTCATTCAGGACAGGGGCAAACTCGCATGTGCAAAATCCTCTCGTTTAGGAACAAAATTATTTATTCTTACAGGCAGAACCGTTAAACAATAAAACTTAAGAGCTTACTAATGCTTTATCTGCCATGTGAAAACTATATGAATGAGAGTTTTCAGTAGTTACACCACACGAGCCAAAACACAAATGGCAATAAGAGCACAAACATTTGGTCCTCGATTTAGAATCACTTACATTCCTCATGTTACTTGTCAACTTATTTAAAATATAAATAGCAGCAGTCCCCGACAACTGGAAAGCAACCACTGCATAAAAACCTTGGTTTGTTTCATTCAGTGCGTCCCAATTACTGTATGTGGAAATCGTATGTACCTGCCAATCCTGCACTGACAGATACAGATACAGTATGCTGGAATGATCCAGACGCGAGGAAATGCCAGCAGATTGTGCTTCATCCAGACAGAGGGAAAAATCACCAACTGTCCACACCGTGCCCGTTCGCTCCACAATCTCCTGTCCCTGGCCTGTACACCCCAACGGCCCATTCCCTCTCTGATACCTACAATGGGTTGTGTCGCTATTACAACCGGCACGCTGTGAACAGTTGGTGATCGTTCCCTCTGGCTGGATGAGTTTTACGCGTAATCCATGCACTACTGAAGCTGGGGGCTCTCCGCAGCACCTAGCAACTTTCTAAATTCTTCCATCTCATGGATAAAATAAGTCAGGTCGAAACAAAATTTGCATTTTTGGCATGAATTAATACAACAGTATTGCCAAATCTAAAGGAAAATACAATAAAATTCGATTCACATAGTTCATCAAATAAATAAAACAATTGTATTTCAATACATTGGACATAGAATAATGTATATGTAATAATGTAATGGTTTGCACCTTCCTTTCAAACATTTAAATACAGAGGCTGTTGCACTCACATGAAATTGCGTTTAGGCTTGGTAGATCCCATTGCGTGTAGTAAATAAATGTATTTGCATGTTACGCCCCAAACTGCATATACATAGGCAAAAGTACTAAATGAACAACAGGTGCCATCTTGCACTTTTGACGTCATTCTGCGTGCACGCCGTTAGTTAGTAGCTTACATGCTAATTTGCTAGTGATATCAAGTTTGCACATGTTTTTACTCACGCAAACCTTTAGTAAATCAGGCCCCAGGTGTATTTCTGGAATTATTCTGGATTTTATTTTTTTTAAATAAAAAAGAGCCAGACTCCAACAAGCCATCCATAGGGTCCACAATTACACATAGGTAAGTCATTCGCTAGCTTTGAGGGAATCTGGGGTTTTGGGGTTACTATAATAGATAAAGAGTGTATTTTTAAAGATCTATGAGTGTATATGAGTGTAATGCTGGTCTACCTTTTAGGACAGTCAGGTGCTTTCCAGAGACAGTCATCTGCTGACACTGGACTGTGGGAGGTGGAAGAACATTCAGGATGGTGCTGACTGGGAAATAAGACAAAGACACAACAGTCAAAACCAGGCATGTTACATAAAGGTGCTGGACAAATTCACATAATTGGTTCTAATGACATAAAATTTATAATCCATTAGGACTGATTTTATATGCCAGAATTCTGAAGTCCTAAAGCCTGGCAAGTTACAGGTTTCTCACAACTCCACAGATGAGGGAGTGACAGCCTGTGTGAGTGATTGTGTTTTTGATTTATTATTCTCTGTTTTGAGCCTGGGGCATATACCACAAAGAGAGTTCAACATACCCAGGATATCTTGTCGTTATCTGGCTTCCCTAATGCTAACAATTACACTCAGGATAAGCGGTCCCACAAAGCTGGTTATCACCTTGGTAAGTCAACCAAGGTTTTCCCTATCCAGCCGTGAGCGTGGGGGCAGAGCTAGACTCTCAGCATAGTGGGGGCGGAGCTTCATCACAGGGCCCACCTGCTACATAGTCATTAATACAAAGTTTAAATGACCCCAGACTCTGATCAACAGCCACAACTGATCGCAGCCACTCTAGTCAATGCTTGTGCTCACACCAGAAGTGTCTCTCCTTTTCACAGGCATTTTCAATATAAAATACCCTGTACAGACCCCCGATCGTATATCAACATAAACACTGCTAGAAGAGACAAAAACCGAAACAATTTAACTAAGTAGCCTACTTAATCATAGCAGAAGCACAAAAAGCATCACTGATTACCAAATCAACAAAATCTAAACATGTCAGCACAATCAGGCAGGCAAAACGCTCTTATTCTGAAATGCTCCTTGAGGGCTCTGCAGACGCTGGAACGAAAGTGGGTCTGTGAAGAAGGTAGTAGAAGCACCAAAAGGACATATTAAAAACAAGTCATTAACGTGGGGTAGGCTGCATGCTCCGCTGCTGAAACACTTAAGCTGATGATACATGGGGCAACTTTTTGAACAATGTTGCTGGTGGCAAGTCCAACTATGCTTTGAACGGATAGCGTCGGCGCGGGGTGGCGGGAGAAGGGGATTACAGTAGTAATCTTTACTCATTACCATTGACAGCAACATTGCCCAGCACCATTGCTCTAAACGTTGCTCTGTGTATCATGAACTTTAGGCCGACAGGAAACAGAATTGATTAGTTCACCACTCTCAGCTGTGGGTCTCTAGGTTTGAGTCGTTCATTTGTTACGTGACAGCTACTGTGGAGCAGGAATGAACGACTCGTTCACCGCTCACATGGGTCCTCAGTCTTTCTTCATTCGGCAGGCTGAGTGACTGCCAGCGCCGGAGAATGAGAGGCAGGTCGGCTGTCAGGTAACAGTCACTGGACTGACATTATATAGCTATTTTGTTAATTATGTGACATTTAACAAAGCATAACGTTATTACAGCGCAGTGATGTTGTGCTAAGTTTTAGTTTTAACACAGTAACTTTAGTCCTGCTAGTGTTTAACATTACAGCCAACAGCTGATGAGAGTTGTTCTGGGTCCACTTAAGAGCCCTGACAGGGTTCTACCTGGAGCCGAATTACCTCAGAGGTCGTCTCCTCTCCAAAACAAATAGACCCGGTCATTAAAACATTAACACACAGCCACGTAGCAATGTTAGCGTTAGCCATGTAAACAGCTAACAGCTGATCCAGGTCCGCCAGAGAACGCAACGTAACTTTTCCTTTCTATTTCCCAACAGAGCCGTGCTGTTGTTTCACAGCTCGTGACTGGTGAACAACCTGCAGTGTTTGAGAGCGATGTGCTCAAGTGTGTTTCTCTGTCTGCAGAATCCAGACCTGATGTGGCCCACTCTGCGTTCAGAACTACCACACTGCTGCGTTTATGTGTTTATTTCTTTGTTCCTCTCTTTGTGCTGGAGTTCTTTAAGAACTTGGTGGCTTGATCCAGATTATTATTAAATTGGTTGAATTTTAATAAGGGTGTGTTTATTCATATAGGGTATCAAGCTTATTACTTCAATATATTTACTGCAAATCTGATATTAATATTTTACTCATGGATAGGGACGTTAGGCTCCTGTATGAATGAGCACTTTAGAGATAATGATAGTAATTATATACATAAGCCTTTATATGGCTATTTGAGAACGGCGCTGTTTTTTAATCGCCCACTAGAGGGCTGCAGCGCCACAATAACCAGCCTAGTTCAAATCATAGACTGTATATAAGAAATGGACGTAGTCATCGTGACGGTTTGTGGACTGCCGTTTTGAAGCCTCGAGTTTGGCCGATAGGGCGCCGCCATGTCGAGTTTTTGCAACCAGGAAGTGCCCGGAAGTGACGATACGACGGCCATGTGCGGAGTTAGCTAGCTTGCTTAGCTAAGTGCAACTGTAACTCACATTAACTGTCATTTTAACAGGGCTGATAACTCTGTCTAGCGAACAACAGTCTTAAAACTAAATGTACTCACCAGAGAAAGAGAACAGCCGACTCCTAATAAGCTTTTTCAGCGGCGCTGATTAAATTTACACAGGGCCGAGGGTATGACTCGGCTCTAGCCTGATTGACAGGTTGCCATGGTAACGGTAAATCAATCATAGATAGTCCCACCCTGAAGCATACTCTGCTTTGTGGTCTATTTTAAAATAGACGGGACCATAATTTACTAAATGAACATCATTTTGTATTGAAGACTTGAAACTAGCAACTGAGACCATAAACTCATCAGGAAAGTGTTTACTAGGGTAATTATTCAGCTGAGAAGTAGGGTCATTTTCCCATTATTTCTAATGGAGCCGGACTTCTTTTTGCAACCAGAAGAGTCTCCCCCAGCTGGATTTTCAATAGAATGCAGGTTTAAGGGACTTCCGCATCGGCTTCATATTGTAGACCGGAAGCTTCCCGCTTGGTTCAAATGAACTCCGTCCCTCAGAGTTCCCATGAGGCATGGCGGTGAAGAGAGTTTTGTTAAAATTTGCTAATATGTCTCCTATTTATTTGAAATACAAAAGTTACTTTGTGATTTGTTTTTTTTTTTAAACGTGTCTGCTTAGAATATAGTGTTTTTTGTTGGTAATTGTCATTCTTGTGGTGGTTTACTATTGGAACCAGGATTGAAGTGCCTGTTTCATTTGATAAGAACGGCTGCACTGGCTTTCTTTGCATTGATAGATACTTGCATACAACAACAAACAAGTGTTATAATGTTCGCGGCCCCTACCCACCCGGGACCCTGGGTCGGCCACCCCCACGTACCTCTGCTTATGCGTGAGCACGTGTAACAGAGGTTATGTAGTATATTATTCCACTTGCTATAAGTCATTCATTTATTATCCATGTATCTTTGGGGATTTATTGGCTCAAGGGCGCCTTCTCTCAGACGTAGTAGGTAAATACTACTAACGCGCCTGTAACGTTAGTTCATGAGAGACGTGCCCGAGGTGAGTTGCTAAACGCAGCGCTGTGTACAAATATTGTGTATTATGCCTGTTAAAATTAACTACATGAACACATGTGCACTGTAACTTATGGAGAGGTTGATAAGACCAGTTATGAGTGGGTTGTTGTACTCTTAAAGTGGTATAGTGTTTAAGTAACGACAAAATGCATCTTCTAACTAGCTAGCATCGGTGCTAAAATAACTTGCTGTTCTTTAGTAGTGTGCTGTGTGTGAGCTGCCTAAAGCTGTATGACTGACCAGTACATATTCTGTTCCTGTCCAGGTACATATTTTTGTGTTATTTTATTTGTAACATTAACTAACGGGCCTGTAACGTTGTTATGGTGAGTTCCATTTGACATGGGAAGTCGGAATTTCCGAATTCCTAGTTGGAACTTTCAACTGAAACGTCCCCTGAAGTCAGATTTCCGACTCGGGAAGTCGGGAGACCTGCACTACCCCGACTTCGTGATCCAAGATGGCTGTCGGGGTATCAACAGTTAGTGAAAGCTGTAGTTTATACTATTTATTAGCACTTCTGTGTACTTGTGACTCATATAAATGTTCGTACACAAAGTGCTGTCCAACAACTGTCTGTGGATGTGTTGCTACAGTGTTTAGTGTGAGTAAATACCGCACAATGCGTTTTTTTAATGAACCGTCGTATCAATAGCTAACCTGGCTAGTTGTAAACAAACAGCTGGTCGAGCGAGGTTTTCCGACTTGTTAACTGGAACGCCGTCAACTCGGGTGTGACGTCATTCCCAGCTCCGACCTCCGACTTCCGAGGTAAATGGAATGCAGCATAAGTTCATGAGAGACGTGCCCAAGTGTGCTGTGTGTGAGCTGCCTAAAGCGAGCCAACTTGTATGACTGACCAGTACATATTCTGTTCCTGTCCAGATAATAAACGGCTGCATTGAGAGATAAACGCCTCGTACTCATCATTTCAAATACACAACGCAGATTCGAGGGGTTGATTGAACCAGCCAGCTGCAGTGAAGTGTAGTTGAGTGTGGTTACACACGTTCACATAAAAGAGGGGGTGTTAGCAGCAGATGACCGACCGCAGACATGAACAAGTCTACTGTCAGCAGAAGCAGAATATTTCACTAAGGAAGAGCAAACTGTAACACTACAGAAATACAACAAGAAAATCGCAGACAGTGTGAATGCCTAAATGAACAGTCACAGTCTATAATAATGCATTGATTTGTGTAGGGGTTGTGCTTGAGCTTTGTGTCGGCGTTTCCACATTAAAAGACTTGGGCACTGAATAAGTGGTTGTTCCACCTCACTTTAGGAACTTCTCGTCACTTAAAAAATGAGATTCATTCACATTCAAAAGTGTTCCAAACATTGTTCTACATTAACTTCATAAAGCAATGAAACGAAAAACCCATTCATGCAATAAAATGTGCTCAAATAGTGGTTGAAATATTGAATTCTCAATATTTAGGCTATTCAAAACTCACCTCAATACCTGTGCCCACGCAAAAGGTGAAGCAGAACGTGACCAGCCTCTGTGATAGCCTATAAGATAGCTACTAACCTAAAATAAATAGCCCTACATTCATATTAAAATTTTATTCAATATCCCTACCAAACTGCTCATAATATTCAGCCTCACATAAGAAAAATGAAACCCATTTATTTTAATGGCTGCGACAGGCTGTGTGAAACTGGGCAGCAAATAAAGAATAAACACATTTCAAAAAAAGTAAGTAGCCTAACTGTAAAATATATATATATATATATATATTCAATAGTGGCTTACATGGCTTTTCAATCAGTCTCTGTAGGATGATATTGAGATAGTGTACAAAAGTTTCTCCACATCACCGCAGCAAATATAAATCGTTATCATGTTGGAATGACTGTAGGCAAGACTCACTTGTCTTTGTACTCCTCACCTGGTTGCCACCACACACGCTTGACACCATCTGAACCATATAAATTTATCTTGGTCTCATCAGACCACAGGACATGGTTTCAGTAATCCATGTCCTTAGTCTGCTTGTCTTCAGCAAACTGTTTGCGGGCTTTCTTGTGCATCATCATTAGAAGAGGCTTCCTTCTGGGACGACAGCCATTCAGACCAATTTGATGCAGTGTGCGGCGTATGGTCTGAGCGCTGACAGGCTGACCCCCCCACCCCTTCGACCTATGCAGCAATGCTGGGAGTGAGGGGTGTACTCACTTTTGTGAGATACTGTACGTAGCCTACTTAACCTTAGTAGAAGCACAAAAAGCAACGACAACTGAACAAATTCACAAAATCTGAACAAGTCAGCAAAATCAGGCAGGCAAAACACTCTTATTCTGAAATTCTTCATGTGGATGTAGCCAAGCGGAGCGAAACAGGCTCACAGAAAGCTGTTATGCAGTGGCTAACACACATGCCTTTGGTGTGAGAGACCTGGGTTCAAACCCCCACTGTGACACATCCACCAATGTGTCCCTTAGCAAGACACTTAACCCCTAGTTGCTCCAGAGGCGGGCAACCTCTGACATACTTAGCAATTATAAGTCGCTTTGGATAATAGTGTCAGCTAAATGAATAAATGTAAACGTAAATACAGCTAACGTTAAATGGTCAGCGAGCAAAACCTTCCTCATCTTCTCCCCGTTTTCTTCTGTCTGACCGCTTTAGCTGCTGCCGACGTCTCTCTGTCTGTCATAGAGCGGCCTGAACACCAGCATTTCTCCCATTGCTCCAGTGGCGAGTCCAACTATATTTAGAACGATTAGCGGCGGGGCGGGGGATTACGGTAGGTTGTTGTCTTAAAAGTTACTGGCACACTGCTCATAAATTATTTTTCTCATTGCACATCTGTTTTTAGGGGCATATGCGAGAGCCCGGTGTGGCCGGAGATAATGAGCAGACTGCAGCGCACACAAGAGAAGAGAGTATTACACAATTTCTCTTTTATTAAATCGCACACTTTTTGAAATGTGATTAAGTACAACACTTTAATTACTGTCTTATACGAATAACAAATCTTTTTAGATGTATTTACATGATAAATAAATGTATTATTATCATTAAAACATATTTCATTGAGTCTACAACACTGAATTTGGAAAAGGTTGTTAGGGACTCCATCTGTGTCCCTATAAGACTAACGGCCAAGGTTGGGTGGGTGTCGATGCAGGGTTTGAAAAATGTAAACCATTGTCCATAATGCCTAATGACGGGCCTCCCCAATCAAACCCTTACCATTTGGTTCTGTCTGCTTCTGGGTTTTAGCTACCAATTCTGACAAGGTTAGACCATAAATGTTTCGGGCCCACAAAGCTCATGTCTGGTGGTGAGAGAAACAGTGTGTTTACCCTGTGCCTTGAAGTTACTGTGGTCCTGTCTGAAGGTGTGTGTTGGACTCCTGAGCTGCAGAAGAGTCAGGTAGCCATGTTCCCTCACCTCCACCTTCTCCTCTTCCTGCTTCCACACAGTCACTATGATCTGACATCACACAGAGGCAGACAAACTCACAACCGGACCAGACAGTTATACTGCATTCCAATATACTGTAAATATATAAAGTAATGTGTAAAAGATTTGTGCTGTAAAGTATGAATGCTTTCAAAAATATACATGTTAACAGATCATATTTATAAATTCACACAATGCAAAGTGAGTAAAATCAAAATCAAATTAGTATTTGGTGTGACCACCTTTTTCCTTTAAACAGCATCAGTTCTTCTAGGTACACCTGCACATAGTGTAAAACTTTGATTAATAGCCTGGGATTTACTTGCAAAAATTGATGAATTGACCCTGCCTATATTTGGGACAGGCGTCTATATGGGACTGAAATCAAACTGTTTCAACCAGTATGAATATTACTTGTACAAAAATCATATCAAATCATTCATTTGATCTAGCTCCTCCAACTGACAGCTTAATCACTTTTATTTTGTAGGCAGCAAGGTAATGAAAACAAGCATACCCAACAACACAGAGCAGGATGCAGAGAAACATGTGGCAGAAATTAGCAGACAGTTAGCAATGGACTTCATGTGACAGTAATGTTATTCCCAGGACAGGATTATTTTTTATGAAAAGCTGTTCTGATTCTTTTAATCAGTGGACCCTTACAGACTAAAGGAATATAAATAATGGTGGAATAGACACATTACAAACTTAAGTGCGTGTCAAAGAGCGCTTCATGCAGTACCATCAGGGAGGCAGTCTGGCTCTGGAGCTGTGGAGTCTGGATCTGTGGCTGCGGGTCACCACAGAAGGACTGTGGGGTTCTCCAAGATGTTTGGAATAACCTACCTGCAGAGTTCCTTCAAAAAATATGTGCACCGAGAAGAACTGATGCTGTTTGAAGGCACACAAGTTTTGTTTTGTTTTTGTGTGTTAATTCAGTTTTCAGCTGTGATTCACGGTGCTCTTTCACCAGGGAGGAGCTCATGAACATCAGGGGAACAACTCCAGCGGATTTTATTCCCACTTTTCTTGCTTCATCAGTGGAATTATTGGACATTTTGGTGAAGGGCTCGCTCACTGTCGTTCTTGCTGTGAAGCGCCGCAGGAGAGGGTTATGAGCCGGGTCACTTGTGCGTCTTTGCCGGCGGGGACTCCGCACACCGCTACCGGCAATATTTCTCTCCAACGTGCGCGCACTGTGCAATAAACTGGACGAACTTGTGGGGAAAAACAGAGACTTTTATTCATTTATTTATTCTGTGCTTCAAGGAGACCTGGCTGTGTGAACACCGGACTCTGCGCTGCAGCTGGCTGGCTTCCAACTGTACAGAGCGGACCGCGACAATGGCTGGTGTACCGACGTGACAGTGATTCAGCAGCACTGCTCTCCTAATCTGGAATCTCTTATCATTAACTGTAAACCGTTTTACTCCCCACGTGAGTTTGCTTCATTTACGCTTCTGGTTGGTGTTTACATCTCGCCGCACACAAACGTTCAGGACGCACAGAGCACGCTGGCCGACCGGATACTGTGTGTGTAGAGCAGACAAACCCGGACTCCCTTGTTACTGTTCTCGGTGACTTTAACAGGGGAAATCTCAGCCAAGAACTCCCAAATACAGACAGTTTATAAAGTGTCCAACCAGACAGGGGAACACTCTGGATCACTGGTACACCACAGTTAGCAGTGCCTTTCACGCCATCACACGTGCTACACTGGGACACTCTGATCACGTGATGGTCCATCTGATTCCTGCTTACAGGCAAAAACTAAAGCTCTGTAAACCTGTAGTGAGGACATCAAAGAAGTGGACTAGTGAAGCTGTTGAGGACCTCCAGGCATGTTTGGACTGCACTGACTGGGAGGTTTTCAAGAATGCTTCCAACAATCTGGATGGGTTTACAGAGGCTTGTACGTCCTACATCAGCTTCTGTGAGGACAGCTGCATTCCAACACGGACCAGGGAGAGTTATAACAGTTATAACAAACCCTGGTTTACAGCTACGCTCAGACAGCTCAGGTTGGAAAAGGAGGAGGCATTTAGGAGTGGTGACAGGTGCAGGGCGTTAAAGTAGAGGTTTAGCAGGGAGGTGCGAGAAGCTAAACGACTGTACTCAGAGAGACTAAAGAACCAGTTCTCTGCAAACGACGCCAAGATTCAGACAGATCACAAACTATAAACCCAAAGTCCTCCACTCCATAAACGATTCTCGCCTGGCAAATGAACCAGTTATTTTTCTTTCTTTTTTTTTTTGCCCAGCAGCCTGGTATAGAGTATGATGACCTGAATACCATATTGTGCCAGATAGATTTTACTTTAACAAGAGAGTATTAATATACTCCTTTGTCTGTTTTATTATTTATTTAATTATGTATTGATTTGTCACCGGGCTGGACAGGGGGGCAGACACGGGGATGGGGGGGCACAAACAGACAGCACAGAGAAAGGACAACACCTGTAAGAGAAGGGGGATGGAAGGTGGGGACAACAGGGAAAAGCAGAGGGAAACACCAATTGCAGAAAGCAACGTAACCTGCAATAGAACAGAGAGGGGGGCTTGGGGGGAACAAAACAACAAACAAACAAACAAAACAAACAATAAAAATAATAATAATAGTAAAAGAAAACCAGCCGAACAGCAGCAATAAACAGCTGACATAGTAAGACAACTAAGAGAACAATGAAAACAAGAACGGTTTACAGAGGCGTGTACGTCCTACATCAGCTTCACAACACAGCACAGCCACGAAAGCTGGAATAATAACAATTAATTTCAATAAGTAACTGAAAGAAAAGCATCAGGAATAATTCTACCAGGGACAACCTTGTTTGTGTCTATGTGTGAGACTGTGTGTGTCTGTGTGCGTGTGGGTGAATGTGTCTGTATGTGTGTGTGTGTACATGTGTGTGCGCTTAAGCCTGTTAAAGAATGTAGTTGCTGTGCTACACCTACCCCAGCAACAGGCAGGCAAGAACTGGGGTTCTTGCCTGCCTGTTGCTGAACCAGTTCTACTGCCGCTTTGAGAGTCAATCGGACACCATCCCCCGTGACTCCTCCACTCAGCTTCAGCCTCAGTCCACCACTTCTTCTCCTCATTCTTCAGAGCTGGCCAGCTCCACCCCCTCCCCTCCTCTCTCCATCACAGAGACAGAAGTCAACGGTCTTTTCAGGAGGCAGAAACCCCACAAAGCAGCTGGGCCGGACTCTGTCTCCCCATCCACCCTGAAGCACTGTGCTGATCAGCTGTCTCCGGTGTTCACAGACATTTTTAACCCCTGGGAGCTGGGAAAACATGTGGAGGTTTTGAAGCCAGCCTGCTTCAAAGCCTCCACCATCATCTCTGTCCCCAAGAAACCAAGGACCACTGGACTAAACGACTGCAGACCAGTCGCCCTGACTTCTGTGGTTATGAAGTCCTTTGAACACCTTGTGTTGTCCCACCTAAAATCCATGAGAGACCCATTCCTGGACCCCCTGCAGTTCGCCTACAGAGCCAACAGCTGCACCTCCAGTCATCAGTCTGACAAGCTTCTGAAGTTTGCGGACGACACCACCCTCATTGGGCTCATCTCTGGTGGGGACGAGTCCGCCTACAGGTGGGAGATCGACCATCTGGTGACCTGGTGCAGCCAGAACAGTCTCGAGCTCAACGCTCAGAAGACAGTGGAGATGGTCGTGGATTTTAGAAAGAGCACAGCCCCACCCTCCCCCATCATCCTGTGTGACTTCCCAGTTCCTGGGTACCATCATCTCCCAGGACCTCAAGTGGGAGCTGAACATCACCTCCCTCACCAAGAAGGCCCAGCAGAGGATGTATTTCCTGCGGCAGCTGAAGAAGTTCAGCCTGCCAAAGACAGTGATGGTGCACTTCTACACCGCCATCATTGAGTCCATCCTCACCTCCTCCATCACCATCTGGTACGCTGCTGCCACTGCCAGGGACAAGGGCAGGCTGCAGCGCATCATTCGCTCTGCAGAGAAGGTGATTGGCTGCAATCTTCCTTCTCTCCTGGACCTGTACACCTCGAGGACTCTGAAGCGAGCAGGAAAGATTGCAGCTGACTCCGGACACAAACTGTTTCAGACTCTTCCGACACTCCCCCCTTGCAAATGATAGAAATGTTTCATCTCGTGTCAGGCACAGACCTGGCACGTTGCACATATTTGTTGTTGATTGTTGATCTTTGTTGTTGTACATTTTTATGTTGTAAGTTTATATATTTATATTTACACAATATTCTCTTCCGTTCCGTTACTTCTGCACGGCACAGACCCAGAATAATGCACATGTATATATCTGCAACATTGTTCCTCCATGCCATATTTATTTATTTCTACATTTATTTATGTTGACTGTATGTTTGTCTACGTGTAGCACCTTATCACCACAGCAAATTCCTCGTATGTTTAAAACACTACTTGGCAATAAAGCTCCTTCTGATTCTGATTTGATTTAGATTTTTCTTCTGATAAATGTAATCTATTGACATACATGCTATTTGAAAGCATTCTTACTTTACAGCATTTTTCCACACCTGCCTAAAACCTTTGCACAGTACTGTGAGATCTCCCTCAGTGCCCTGAGATAACTTCTGTTATGATTTGGCTCTATATAAATATCGATGAAGTGAACTGTAGGTTCCAAATAGGGATAATTCTTTTTTTATCACAACTTTGGTCTTAGTTCTGTACTTTGCCTATAATTTCAATGTTATGACAAAACTGTACTCTCTAAAGTAGTGGACGTTAACAACAGACAATTTGGGTACTTAAAATGTTTCTTGACCTGTCAGGTCCCAGATTTCAGTAACTTGGGAACAAAGTTACTATTACAACTTTAAAAATGGACAAAATTGTGAAACTAAGACTCCAGAAGTAATAAATTGGAATTAACCTTTCTAGGTAACCTCTCAGTACATTCACAGTTCATACACAGTTTGGCTGCCATTTAGTTAAACGTATGCTAATTTGATAAACAAATCACACTGAACTGTTTTTATCCATCTTTTAAAAGATGCCAAAACACAATATTTACTACATGTGTGTAAATAAATGTGTGGGCAATATGGATGAAATTCACTATTACATATTGCATGTACATTATTAGTGTAGTAATTTTATATCCCATATCAACCATATATCAATATAGAGGTGCATCTTAGAAAATAAGAACATTGTGAAAACGTTCTCTCCTCCCCATGATTTAAGTCAAAAAGTAAAACTTTCGTTCCTAGTGTCCAGCCCCTCCAGAGCCAGAGACGATGTCAGAAGTGTCTCACCTGGGCTAAGGAGAAAAGAAAAAAAGCCAGTTTTGACTTTGCAGAAGGTCTAGATTTTGTCATTATACATTATTCTAATATTTTGAAAATCTAGAATATATGAAAGTTTTACTTTTGGGCATAAATTAAGGGAAAAACATTTTCACAATATTCAAGGTTTGTTTTTTTTTAAAAATCAAGGTAATTATATTAATTATAATTAATAATTAAATGGAACGGTAATTAAAGGAACAATCCTGTAAATTAAACAATGCCATAAAATAGTCCTGGGGTCTCATTTATAAACGGTGTGTACGTACAAAACAGGGCTGGAAATGTGCGTACGCCACTTCCCAAGCAAAGGCTGTGATCTATAAAAAACAAACTTGATGGGAAAATATGCAGTGCTGTAAGTAAACTCTGAACTATGCGTACGCACAAAGAGGAGAAATGAGAAACGGCGACTCACATGGCAGAAGGATGAAACGGTTTGAAATGAAAGGCCTACTATTGTGTAAAATAAATCGTAATATTACCTCTGAGTATTATAGGCTTAAAGCCTTTCTGAATAAACAAACACATGTTTGATTGACTTTCCCTGAAGTGCACAAAAAACCCCACATAATTTAAGACCATTTGCAGTGCATAAAAAGAAACACATTTAGGATGATAAACACAAACGGAGATATCTGTTTCTGCAAAAGAACGCCTTAAATATGTTATACAGTTTAATACGGAATCGTATTAATACTTGCATGCTGTGCAATTTATTCTAATAAACAGGAGCAAAATGAACAGGAGGACAAATTACATTTAAATTGATGCCGTTTTCAAAGTGTCAGTTGAGTAAATAGGAGAGCATAGTTTCATATTGCCTACATGTTCGTTGCCTTTTCGAGCCAAACGCTATGCGCCAGCGCGGGAATGTGATGCACTGCTTATAAAAACACATTATGGAAATATAACACTATTTTGTGTCATTTACAACAAGTCATATTTATCATCATCAGCATCAGCAGCCTCATTAAGTGAGTGGAGTGTTTGTGTAGCCAAATAAATGTTCAAACACAAGCGGGATGCATTTAGTTTAATCTCTTTTCAAACGTGGGAATCCAAATTAGACCTGGGTCATCCTGTCTTGCGTGTGTGTTCTCCTCCAGCCAGTGAGGGGTGGAGCTCCGGTGCCCCCTTTCCTCTGGTGCACAAGCGTTGCGTGAAAGTGCGTTTTTTACCCACCAAACAACATGCTTCAGCTTCACCAAAAGGAACATCAGTGTCTTACTGAGTTAAACTTCATTATGTCAGATTTTGCTTCTTTTTCTTTCTGCAGTCAGTACGTATTAATATTAATGACTGTCATTTCACTGACCATTTATAGGCAACTATGGGCGTTGAGCTCGCTCACATGCGCCACATTTCAAGTAGATTGTGATTTATAAAGGAACTTGCTTACAACTGTGCGTACGCACGGTTTTATAAGTCTGAATATTTTTTGGCGTACGCCATTTTTGGCTTTTGGGGGCACGTAAACTTTTAGTTTCTACGCACAGTTTTATAAATGAGACCCCTGCTCACTGATGAGCAACATTGCCCCCAAGAGTCTAATATAGCCAGAGATCAATGGAATAGTTACTGCAATATCAACAGAACAATTAACAGATTTATAGGTATATAAATAGGTAGATTTATAGGTAACTCCCTTTGTTTGTATGCAGGTGTTTCTGACCTTGGCTTTGACTGTGTTGACTGGCAGCTTGTCCAAAGAGACAGTGAGACAGAAGATAACCTGGTCGTCCAACACCAGAGCAGACTGCAGGAGGATAAGCAGAGATGTCTGTGAAGATTCTCAGTCATTAGTCAACTGAGTGGCAGGGAGTCCCAGCTATTTAACCTCTGTGGGGTCTGAAGATTCTCAGTCTCAGTAGAGAACTGTGAAGTCCTGGTGAACTCCAGGCCCAAGAAGGTTAAGGCAGTGCTGGAAAATAATGGTGGCCACACAAAATATTGACTCTTCAGGCCCAATTTGGACATTTTCACTTAGCGGTGTACTTACTTTTGTTGCCAACAGTTTAGACATTAATGGCTGTTGGATGTGTTATTTTGAGGGGACAGCAAATTTACATTGTTACAAGCTGTACACTCACTACTTTACATTGTAGCAAAGTGTCATTTCTTCAGAGTTGTCACATGAAAAAATATAATCAGATATTTACAAGAATGTACTCACTTTTGTGAGATACTGTATAATAGTTTTTAAAAACAGTATTCAATTTTAAAATTTCAATAAATGAATGATGTTTGCTACATAAATGAGTAATTCTGGTAAATAATTGTGATCTCAGTATTGATCAAAATAATTGTAATTATGATTATGAACAGCCCTACATGAACATTTAATTTAATTAATGAAATACGACTTTTGTTATGTGAAACTACACCTCTGCCTTTTTTTCTGTACAGTTTAACCCTTCATTCAATAAAGTTTTTTTCATTGTTAACTCTTGTTAAAAATATGACATGGTTTAAAAATTTGGTGAAGAGTGCTTTATGACTTGTTTATGACGCGAAACTCAAAGTTTAGGACTTGGGACTGCAGCACAACAGGAACACGTGAAGCAAAATCATCCCGGAGCGCTTTGTCAAGACAGCAACAAGACAGCACCTCACCTTGTTTCCTTTTTGTCCCCACACAAGCAAGGTACATTAGGATGATCAACATGAGGAGTTTTTTTGTTTCTGTTAGTAGTAGAAATCAAAATGTATTTTTTTAAATGTTTCCTTCTCACCCCCGTGTAAAAAGTAATTTCTGCACATTTCTGTCATGGTAACGTAATGTACGTCATCTAACGTCTGGCTATTTTATATTTCCTGCTTATTTAACACCATGTATGAGTGAGAAAACAGCTTAAAGTAACCTTACAGACTGTTGTTAGTCTGTGCCTGTTGTTATAATCTGTAAATCAATTCAGTTATTGTCTTTGCCCCACACTGATGCAGAAACACATAAGCCAGTGATTATCTCACTGCATATTACTCAGTGATGAAAAAAATCCATGTCAGAAACAAGTTTTAAGTACTTAAGGTCTGTTATTATTATCATAACACAGCAGTGACGTGGAAATTAGAGAATTTTAAAATATGCCTATATTCTAATGAGCTTTTTGTCTCTTTTCAGGATGATTGAATAAAATATTGAATTATTAATGAGCGTAATTTCTGATATTATTTATTTTGGATAAATGTATTATTATTAAAATTGTTGTATTAATTGAGAAATTAAAAAACCCTTTAGAATAATCCTAAATAAATTATAGTTTAATCGAAAACAAACATTTTTTAAATTTATCTAAATTGTGCCTGGAGGACTATCTTAGTTTTGCAAAACTGAATATATTCTCCTTGTTAATAACCATGTTGACTTGTTTTGCCAAGTACACAAACCATACTACATTGAACACCTACAATCCTCTGAACTTTAACCAAGAAATATGACTGTTCAGACAGTACATGCCAAAGCCAATCACCTCTCTCCATACAACACAGAAGAAAGACTGCTCTATATTTGGTGCACCACCGCTGCAGAATGAATGAGCGCAGCTTCTAAAATTTTACACGATCATTAATATCAACGTGCAAACTTTATTTTTACTCGCACAGTGTGCGACGCGGTCACACTAAATGCTCAGCTAGCTTCCTCTTCTCATTCTTCAAAGGACGCGACAAGTGCTGTTATAAGAGCAGGAAGTTGAGTCTTTAAAGGCAGTGTAGTGTGTGCGTGTGTGTGAGTGAGAGAGTGTGTGTGTGTAAGCGAATTTGAGAGAGCGAGAAGCAGAAAGTGATGCTGAATGCGAGCATAGCAGAGGAAAAGACTAGCAGTAAGTTGATGAGACAGACAGTAAATGTACAGTGTAGGTCACAGTGTGTCCGTTAATAAAAGTCTGTCCGCTGTTTCCCTAACTGCTGGAAAGTCAAGGCTGTATAACATGACCCTGTGCTTCAGACTCCAGTCTGGAAGCTGAGCAGGAGTAGACGGGGCGGAGTCACAGTGGGGGAATATTAACAGGAGCCCTAGGCAGGAAGCCCCACAGACAGGCAAGACAGCAGCGGAGATCCTAAGGATATATGATCTCCAGGTGAATTTAAGATTAACTAGCCATGGCCACAGTGTTGATCATATAATGTGCAGTCTTTCAGATTGGGACAGCTCTACTATAATTGTAAAATTTGATCATGTCTTCACATTTATTGTTTTGTGATGACTAGGATGATAGAGCATCTACTTTCATTGTCGTTCCCCATTTCTTGCCAAAACCGGGTCGCAGAGTGCTGTTGCTGGTAAGCAGAGTAGAAGTCATAGGTAGAAGCACAAAAAGGACAAAATAACAACAAGCCAACAATGCGCTCAGCTCCTGAAATGTGTCTGAGACGCTTCTAGTGTAATCGATAATCGTGATTATCACTTTGGCTGTAATCGTGCAGCCCCATCCCCAGGTCAATCCATGTTGATGAAATAGTCAATGACAAGCTCAGTACTTCCAGGACAGTTGTCATTCACTTTTTGGAAGCTGCAAATACCAGCAAAGGTGAAGGATGAATTAGGCTGTGATGTGCCAATTATCCTGACAGACAGCCAAGGAAATGAAATAGTGGACTCAGAGGGTACATGAAGTTGTATGATCAGAAAGTTGCTTCTAATTTGAATTTTCTAATTAATGTTAAGTGTTGTTTTAATACAAAAGTGAAGTAAATATTTTCTGACTCCTAAGGTTCCTATTACTAGAAACAGAACTCCTGAAAAATCTCATCAGTATATGTTATTTGCTTTAAGATTATTTGTTCCATTACTTTTGCTCACCTAAGAATGCTGTGGTCTAATACAAACAGTGATATGTCCAAAGTTGCTTAACACATCTAGATGTGAATACCAGGAAATGAGAGCTGAAATTCTGAACTCTTGTCTCATACTCATCTTAAATCCAAATGTCTTCAGTGAACAACAAAAACAAAAAGGAATTTGCCTTACCGTTCCAATACTGTTGGAAACGTAGTGACAAAATGCGCTCTGTAGCACTGTTTGTCCTTTTTGGGCTACTGTAGAAACATGGTGGTGCTACATGGTGATAACCATGTAAGGGGACCCGCGGTTACTTAGATAGAAATGGCTCATTCTAAAGTAATAAAAACACAATGGTTTATTATGTAAGGTCTTTATTCACCACTGAAAACATAGTTATGGATCTTATATTGCGTCTCTGTCACTAGAACCTCAGACATTTTACACTGGAACTTTAATTACTCTAATTACCTTATTTATTTATTTATTGGGGACGATAGAAAATGTGTTTGGGACAAATATTCTGTAGGACGCCTCTAGGACGAAAGGTGTGGAGGACTGATCCTGAGAAATTCAGAAATAAATACAGAAATAAATAAATGCTCAATAAATAACTAAGCATCTGTTTAAATGCACTTCAAATAAAGTAAATAAATAAATGTAAACAGTAATTAAATTATACAAGGAGACATAAATGTATATATCTATTTTAATTAGATTCTTTATTTATTCACCTTTGTAATAATTACCTTATTTGTTTATTGTCCGTTATAATCTTCAACTTTATTTATTAATTACATCTTTTTTAAATGTATTTATTTATGTGTGTGTTAATATTTTTGTCTGTTTTATTCTTCCGTTGCATTTTCTACCCTATTTATTTCCCTAATGGTATTTATTTCTGCCTGTCCGTTTTACATTTCTCTATGCATTTCTGCCTCATTATGCAAATGAGGAGGGGCTGTGTCTCAAGGGGTCATCTTCTCCCCTATTGGTGGACCAGTCAGATGGGAAAGCTCTTGGACTACTCTACCTGCACACATCTACAAGCTTGCTCCTCACAAAGTCAAATGGCTTCCATCAGTGCTCTGACGTGTTTAGAAACTCTATTTGAAGACAATACTACCAGCAATGTCTTCCTTCTCTTTTCACGTAGAAGCTCCGACAGACAGTGCTTTCAGTTTGCTGCATGCATGGACACAGAACTGCGGTATAGGGAGAAGCACACGGTCAGCTGGCTGCAGCTAAATCTGGAGTGCACTCGTATTCAATTCTGTATGGTAAATTCAGTTTTAACGGAGCAGAGCGAGTTGACAGGCAGAGTTAGAGACTTTTTCTGTCCGTTTCTCTCTTTACAAAGACGCATGCTGCAGTCTGAGAGTCTTATCTGAAGAGAGGCAATGAAGTCTCAGTAGTAAGCGATGCGAGCACCACATACAACATAATGTATCAAATTACACAACGGATATACAGTATTTTACAGTATGAAAATAAGATTAATTGGATTATATTCACAAGAAGTATAAAACATTTTACATGTATCTATTAAAAGTAAAATAACACAAATGTCAGGGTACTTAGATTTAAGTACTGCAGTTGTACATTGAAGCACCTTCCTACCTTTCTGATAGGAAGTCTTCTTGAGATGGTATAAAACATTTCTCCTTAAATTCTAATTTGAGTTGCGGACAACTATGACCCCATGAATATTTCACTGCCCAAGTCAGCTATAACACATGTCTTGTTCATTAGACTACATGCTGTACAGTATTTGACTACAGATTTTGTCCCAGGATTTCTTATGCATTTCTTCTTCTTCGTTGCATGATTTAGAATAATAAGGTGAGAAATGAGTCTGTTCTGAGTTCATCCTGCACTGCAGCAGCTAATAAAGTCCATTTAATCCCAAAAACGCTTTTCTTTTAGGCAGGCTGGAGCAGAAAACAACTCACCTTTCTCAAGTTGTACAGTAATGT